TGTGCGTGGTCGGCAAGCTGCTCGGCAAGAAGTCGGGAGGCGACCGCGTGATAGGCCTGATCGCCATGCGGTGCCGAGTCTGGTCCACGGCCAGGGAGGTGCAGATGAAGGCGTGGTCAGCCATCCAGGCTGAGACAGACCATTGGGACGCGGCCATCGCGGGCAACAGCGCCTTGAGGGAGGCGTTCGTTCGAGCGCTGCAGGATGAGGTTCACTCTCGCTTGGACATCCCGCATCGCCAAACAGTGGTAGACATTGCTTCTTTTTACCGTCCTATAGAATGGGAGCCTTTAGCGCTGTGCGCCATGCGCAAAGGATTTCCAGCAGTCATTTTGCACCTGGAGCTCCAGCTTTGCCCCTAGGATGCTGGAGCAGATCGACTCTTTCAGTGAACCCTTTCAAGTGGCGCGATCGGTGGTGCAGGAGCTGAGGAACGGCACTCGGTTTGCCAAGTGCCTCACAGCCTACGTGTGCCAGCGCCTATGCCAGGCGCGTGTCTCTTTGAGTGAGCGCATCTGGATCGACGATTTATCTCAACGAGTGGTGTGCTCGAGGCAGCATGTGAGGACGACGCTCATCAAGGGCGTGCTGTCGACGATCAGGCTTTTCTCCAAGCTGCAGTTGTCCATCGCAGACAAGAGCGTGGTGTTATGTTCTCACCGCAGTGACGCTCAGGTGGCCGAGCGCGCCCTCAGGAAGAAGGGCGTCACGCTCCGCGCCGCGCTGCAGACAGCCTACCTCGGGGTGGACCTGTCTTGCGGCAAGCGGCAGGGGTGAGCGACGGTCAGGCAGAGGGCGCTCAAGTCCAGCAAAGCGCACGGGCGGCTGCGGAGGTTCGCCCAGGCTGCCAGGCGCTGGGCGGTGTCAGCCAAGCTCCAGCGCGCGGGGTCGCAGGCGGCATCCGTTTACGGGCATCGCGTGTACGGGCAGTCTGGCTCGGTGCTGCAGACCCAGCGCCGCGGGCTCGGCGCTGCCGCGGGATCGGCCAAGAGGGGTCGGTGCCTCACGACGCTGTTGGCGCTTCGTCTTCCAGGGAGTGACCCTGGAGTGCAGCTCCCGCGGCAGTGTCTATCCCAATGGCTGAGTGTGTGGTTGACTGACCCTCAGATTCGACCAGCAATTGTTCGGGCTTGGCCCCGAGCCGTCGCTCACTTTTCCAGTCTACCAGATGGCCAGCGAGTGCGTCACATTCGAGGGCCCATGACGACAGTGATTATGTATCTGCTGGAAGCTGGGCGGAAGCCGACCTCACCGACAGAATGGGAAGTGCCTCATGATGGTTCTTCGATGTCGCACTCGCGGCAGTTTCACGGGAGTGACTCTGAGGCGCTGGACCAAGCAGGATCTCTTCTGGATGAGTTTCAGCGAACACGAGAGCTTCAGCAGTGGCGAGTCGCAGCTACGCAGTTCTGCGGCGCGGGTGTCGCCGACGGCGTTGACCTGGCCTCGCTGCAGGTTATGATCCGCGACCTGCAGGACGTCAAGAAGTGCAGGCAGCTGTCGGAGCTGCTCGTCTCGATTGCGACGGGCGGCTTCTGGACACGCGAACGGAGTTGTCTGGCCTCTTTGTGCAGTTCATCGGACTGTCTTCGTTGCGGGAAGGGGCATGAGACTCCTTTGCAAAGATGTTGGACATGTGAGGCTAACGCCCGTTCCGTGTCTAAAGTTTATACTGACTCCAACGACCTTCTCACCCAGGCTTTTTCTGAGTCTGATGCGTTTCCCTGTTTTTGGATGCGAGGCCTCATTCCCTCGTCTTGGACTCACGTTCCTCCCCCTCCTTCAGAAGAGGCCATTCTCGGGGGCAACTGGCTCGGAGGCTTTTTGGAGGAGGGTTGTCTAGGTGCGGGCTCGTCCCTTGAGCCTTTGGTCCTTTTTGGGGACGCCTCGGGGGGCAAAGATACCCACGACTCTAGGCTACGTAGGGCAGGGCTGGCCGTTGCTAATGTCGCTAGCTACGACCCACCTGCTTTGGGGCCTTTTATCATGGGGCCGCTCCCTGGGGCCTCCCAGAGTGTTCCGAGAGGCGAGCTCCTCGCCTCCTTTGGGCCCTCCGATATTCTGTCGGAGTGCTAGTGTATGTAACTGATTGTGCTGAGGTGGCGAGGGGTGGTACTCTGAGCTTTTCCGCAGACCCGAGGGGCCACAGGCCGATCTCTGGAGAGAGGTAGGCAAGCTCCTGCAGCGGCAAGCTCGGCATTCGACCAGTATTATAATCATGCAAGTCCCCTCGCATCTCAGTCCGCGGGAGTACCTCTCTCGTGGAATTCCGAGTTGGCTCGTGATAGGCAATGCTTGCGTTGACGTCCTTGCTGGAGAATCAGCCGCGCACGCGCGGGTTCCCCAGGCCAGTCGTTTTCGAGTTATGTCCATCGAACATAAGGCCATGCTTGTTCGGAGAAGGCTACTGCGGGTCGGCCTCGATTCGATTCGGGCCTCTCAGATGTCAGGAGAAGTTGGCGGCCCAGCGCGCGCTGGCCCACCCCCTCTTCCCCCGCCTCCCCCCATTGCTATCGCACGCTTCGCGTCTGCCCACTCCCTGACCGAAAGTGGTGGGGCGTGCAGTGTGTGCCGAGGCTCTGCGACCAAGGCTACGGTGTCGGGGCGGTTAAAAAGTGAGTGCTTCCAACTCCTCCATGTGAATAGCCCGATTGCCCGTGTTCCGAGAGGACGGCGTTTGCACTTGGCTGGGGGTTGGACCCATCCCACTCACGCCTTGATTTATCATGAAGACCTTCAGTTGTGGTATTGCGGCACATGCGGTTTCTACGGTCAAGCCCAGCTCAGGGGGCTAGCGGAACCGTGCAAATTGCCCATCTCGAAGGCCAGGCGCGAATATCTCGACAGGATTGAACGCGGCCTGCTTCCAAAGTGCTGAGCATTTTCCTTGTTTTCGCTACGTGAGGGCGGAAATCCTGGAAATCCTCCTCCTCCTCCTCCTTCTCCTCCTCGCTGCCGCCCGACGCTTGGGCCCAATCAAGCGGACGATGTGCCTCGGAGGCCCAGGAGGCCGTCCGCTGTCCCAGCCGCGCGGGGCGATGTGCCCTGGAGGCCCAGGGGGCCGCGCTGTCCCAGCCGCGCGGGGCGAGTTGCCTCGGAGGCCCAGGAGGCCGTTCGCTGTCCCAGCCGCGCGGGGCGAGTTGCCTCGGAGGCCCAGGAGGCCGCTCGCTGTCCCAGCCGCGCGGGGCGATGTGCCTCGGAGGCCCAGGGGGCCGTCCGCTGTCCCAGCCGCGCGGGGCGACTTGCCTCGGAGGCCCAGGAGGCCGTCCGCTGTCCCAGCAGCGTGGCCAACAGCGCCACAGCCTGGGCTGCTGGCTGGCTGGTGTCGCGCGGCTGTGTTCATTGATTTGGGATTTGTGCTCAATGCTTGGCGTCACTCATGTTTCCTTCACGTGCGCAATTTGCTGAGGATGCTATCTGACGTTGTATCGCAGTTTATGTTATCGTGGAGGGGGCAGAGCATGTGGAGAATCATGGGGAGCTCGGCTTGGTCGATTCGTGATGGGGTCATGGCGCTCGGGGTCAGAGGGAGATGCTCCCGCCTGCAGCGGGGGCAACGGTGTGTCATATATTGGTGCTTTAACAACTTGATGCTCAGCGGAATCGGGGATACGGACGCACTCGGATGTCAGCCCGTCTCGGTCAGAGCGCTTGCCACCCGACGCTATTGTGCTTAAAGTTTTTGTCGGCAGCCCAGGCTCCCATGGACCCTCTTCTCTCCGCCGCTCTGGCCGTTCGCTTCGCGGCCGCTCCCTCTCCAGACTGTGCCTGCCATTGCGCGCCTGTGTTCTCTTGCGCGGAGGGCACCATGCCGCCCGAATTGGGGGCGAGCGGGACGTGGTCAGCGCTTGGGGCCTGTCTCACCCTGCTCGGGCTCGGCGCTGGCGCCCGCCACCTCGAGCCCGCCCGTGCCGCCACGCCTCGATCCGCGCCTGCAGGACCTGTCGCTGGAGGCGCGTGCCCAGCTGGCGGAGGTCGCAGCTCGTCGGTCCGCGTCCTTCCGTGGCTGAGGCCATGGCGCTGCACCAACTCGAGACGGCGGGCTTCGCCGAGGGCGACTTCATTGCTGTCCACTATCGCGTGCGTGGCCGGCGGGTCTGGCACCTCAGGCTGGGCGCCGCTCTGGTGCCAGGGGGCGTGTCCGTCGTCGGTGTCCTCACTCGTAGCCGCGACGAGTACGACGAAGACCCCGCCGACGCCGCGAACGGCGCGGAGTGGACGATGTTGCCGCTCGGCACTCTGGGGGCCCCCGCAGTCGCGATGGCGCTCGACGACGTCTACGACTTCCAACACCTCCCCCTGCAGGCCGCGGTGGGCGCAGCCCGCGCGGCCGCCTGCGCGAGGGCGGGCGCGCTGCCCGCCGGGCCCACGTGCAGGGGCAGGCGTCCTGGTGGGCGCGGCGCCTGTGGCAGCCGCCGTCGCCTCCGCCCCCGCTGCCTGCGGCCTCGGCGGCGGCCTTGCAGGCCTGGTGGCCGTTCTCAGAGGTGCTCCTGGCGGCCCCGCCGCGGCAGCCTATCAGCCCGCGGCCCTAGTGCCCGCGGCCGCGCTGGTCGCCCCGGGCGTCGGCGCCGGCCCTCCCCCGGCCGCCGCAGGCGCTTTGGCAACGCCCCCGGGCGCCCCCGCGGCTCCGGTCTCAACGCGGCCCAAGAGCGCCCCAACACGGCCCAAGAGGCGCCCAAGATCACCCGAGACGGCCCCAAGAGGGGCCCAAGAGAACCGACAATTCGAGCATTCCGCCCCAAGGGGCTTCCAGGAGGCCCCGAGCGGGCCCCTAGAGGCCCCCTGAGGCCCCCGAGAGGCCCCCCACGAGGCCCCAAAGAGGCCCAGAACAAAAAAACCCAAGAGCACCCCGAACGGCCCCCAATAGGCTTCCAAAACTGCCTTCAAGAGGCCCCATGGGGGGTTCACCACGAATCCCGAACGAACTGCCAAAGGGCCCCTAACCCACAACCCAGGCACGGTGGCGAGATGGGCCGAAGGCCACTAGATGGTCCAAGACGCCCCAGACGGCCTCCAGATGGCCCAAGAGGCCCCCAAGGATACCCAAGAGGCTTCCGTAGCCATTTTGGCTCAAGCCGTTTTGGCTCACGCCTGGGGCTCAGGCATGGGTGGCCGAAGGTGGTAGCCGTGACCGTCGCTTCTTCCACCGCGCAGTCTTTCTTCTCGACGGGCCAATGTCGTCGAAGTGCCAGCGTCTCTTCCTGGCCGTCTCGAGCCTCACGGCGGTGTTCCTGTTTTCTGGCATCGTGTTCGGATGGGCAGCTTTTAACCAGATGTTGCTTAAAAAAGGCTACTACGCGCACAAGTGCGGTCCCGAAGATCCTGTCCACTGTGATGCGCAGATTGGGGCCCTAAACGCAGCATTTACGGCTGCGTCGACCGCGGTGTCTTTGGTGGCTCTTCCAGCAGGCATTTTCCTGGATTCGTGCGGTCCAATGCTAGGTGCATTGGTGGCTGGGGTCTTGAACGTCATAGGCCTCATCGGCATGGCCCTTCCCAACACAATCGGTAGCGAAGAGCACGATTTGTTCCTGTATGCTCTTGTCGTCCAGGCCATCGGGGGATCACTCACCTTGTTCTGTGGATATACGGTACCGTTTCTCTGTCCTAGCCGCGCCACCCTGCTGATTGAAACGAATAGTTGCCTCTTCGACGCCAGTACAATCATTTTCCCGATCTTCAAGATACTGTTCGACGCGGGGTTTTCTTTCGAGGGTATTTTCGAAATCTACGCGGGCGTTGCCGCCGTGAGTTTCTTCTTGCTGGTGGTCGCCTGGAGCTTCTCCATCAAGGATCTCAAGGAGATTAAGGAACGTGCCGGCGACGCACCCGCTGATGGGAATACCGAAGCCCTCTCTGCGAGGCCTTTCGGGGCTCAGCTTCGCACCTTGGAGTTTGTAGCCATCTTTGTGTTCACGACCATACAGATTCCACGATCGAATATTTACATGGGGAGCGTGGACCTGGTGAACAAGCACATCGTCGATCAGAGCGGGCAGGTGAAATACTTGGATACGGTCGGGACCATCATCGGGCTCGTCATCCCCTTTGGCTTCCTCTCCGTTCCGCTGATTGAGCTCTGCGTCCACCGAGGAGGTATCATGTTTACCGTCTACCTCACCACCGTGATTGGCTGGATCTACATCGGCTTGCAGTTCGTCCCAGAGCTTTTCACGCAGCTCGGCACGGTCGTGGTCTTTGCCGCGTGGCGGGCGTTTTTGTTCAGCATCATCAGCGCGTACAACGCGGAGTTCTTTGGGCCGCGGTCGATGGGTCGCGTCATGGGCCTCTCGTTCCTGTTTTCTGGGCTTGCCAATTTCGTCCAGGCGCCTCTGATATCATGGACGTTGGATGCCCAGAGCGGGGACTTCACCTGGACGCTGCTCATCATCCTGCTGGTATCCGTACCTTTGCCCCTCCTGTTCGTCGCCGTTCAGGTGAAGCAGAGAAGAATGGGCACGTTTGTCGCACGTACGTCTAGCGTCGTGCGTGGCGAGTCCATGCACATGACCCGTGTTCTGACGCATGGTACCGCGGGCGGAGGGCCAGAACCACATTTGTTAAACGATGCTATAGAGCGCTCGAGGTCGACTTCCTCTTCCTCCTCCTCTTCCTCCTCCTCCTCCGTGCGTTCGCTCACTTTAGCGGGCCGATTTTCGTGACATTTTCGTTGCGTGTCGTCGCGCTTCTGGCCTTGACGATGGGTGCCGTCAAAGCCCCCTTGAGGGGATGCGGATTCAATACGACATCAGAGCTGTGGAAGATGTTGGGCGTGGAAAAAAAAGGATACCCAAGAGGCTTCCAAAAGGTTCCCCGAAGAGGCCAAACGACATGTATGTTCCATCGGCTTTTCATCAATTTGGCGTTTCCGCCTGTTCCGCTCCCCGACGCTGCAAAAACGCCCCCAGAGGCTCCGAGGATCGCTTCAAAACTGCCCAATAGGCTTCAAAAGCGCCCCGAGACGGCCCAGAAGGTTTCGAAATCGCCGAGGAGCCGTCCAAGACGGCCCGAAAGAGCCTTAACCGCGGCCCTGCATCGGGAACGTGAGCCGAGATCCCGAGATCTTCGCCCCACAAAAACCCCAGGAAATTTCAAGAGGTCCCAAGAAGCCCCAAAGAGGACCAAAAGAGCCACGAGAGAGGCCCCGAGGGCACTTGAGAAAAACGGTAGTTCCAACAGTTGTTTTTTCGCCTGGCAGTTTCGCTACGCTTGCAACAAAAAAGAAGATATATCATACGCCCTCATCCTCTTCTTCCTCCTCCGGTTCCTCCTCCTGTGCGTCCTCCTCCATCATCTCCAACTCTTCCTCGTCCTCCTTTTCCTTCTCCCCCACGGAACCGAACCCCTTCACCTCCCCTTTTCCTCCCTTTTCATCTGGCTGCGTCCAGCCGCGGCGAATACAAGGGCCCCCGAAGTGAATGCCAACTCTGTCTTTTAGCCGTCGTGGGTGGACCGTAGGAAGTCTTGGAAACCACTTCGGCCGTCTTCGTGGTTTTGGAAGCCCCAGCGAAGAAGTGTCATGGACCAGTGGAGTCGATCTCCCCAACTTTCCGACCATCCAGCCTAGGTAGATGTTGAGCGCGCGCGAAGCGCGCGATGGTTTTAGTGTGTATATACAGATTTACATATTATATAGACAGACTAGCTGTGGAGGTGTGTACACATGCATTTCCATGTTTATGTGCATATATCATATATATATATATACATATATATTATATATATATATATATATATATATATATATTATATATATATAATATATATTATATATATATATCATATGTATATATATACACATATAACGGCGCACCGGGTCCGGGGGCCCGGGGCCGGGACCCCGACCGCAAATGTGGGCCCCGGGGGGCCCGGAGGCTCGTCGGGGCTTGCCAGAGGCAGAGGCAACTCCCCGGGCCCCAGACCCAAGGACGGACAACCTTCAAGATGCTGAAGATGGCCTCCAGACGTCCAAGGACGCCCCCAAGAGGCCCCAAGAAGCCTCCAACATGCGTCCCAAGAGGGCCCCTATACGCACAAATTGACACATTCCCTTTCGTAAAACGTACATTTTTCACAAAGTCGCCTTTTGGGCTTTCCGACGTTACAGGACGGCCCAAGAGGCGCCCAAGACCGCCCCAAGACGGCCCAAGAAGCTTCCAAGAGGGCCCCAGGACAGCCCAAGAGGGCCCCAAGACGGCCCAAGAGGCGCCCAAGATGGCCCAAGAGGGCCCCAAGACGGGCCCAAGAGGGGGCCCAGAGCGGGACCACGAACCGCAAGCTCGAGCTTTCCGCCCCAAGAGGCCGCCAGGAGGCCCCAAGGAGGCCCCTCAAGAGGCCCCAGGAGACCCCCAAGAGGCCCAAAGGAGGCCCCGAGAAGCCCCAAATCGGCCCCCAAAATGCTTCGAACCTGCTTCCAAGAGGCCCCCGACAGGTTCAGAGGCTCCCGAGAAGCTACGTCAAACTCCCAGCGAGCGGCCGGACGAGGCCCCCCCAAAAAATCCCAAGAGGGTTCCAGTATTTGTATCCTTCAGCGCTCTCTGGCCTTCTTCCCCCTGCCCCCTTCCCTGCGACTTTCGTTGACTCAAGCTCGCCTCCTCTCCATTTCCTCTCTCTGCCTCTCTCTCTCTGTTTTTTTTATATTTTTGTTTTCTCTCTCTCTCTATATCTCCATCTCTCTTTCTCTCTCTCCTTCGCTCTCTGTCTGTCTGTCTCTCTCTGCCTCTCTTTCTGTCTATCTTTCTCTCTCTTCCTTTCAGATTCCGTGTCCTTGCGACCTTCTGCAGTCCCCGACGTCGCCATGGCTGGATCCGCTCGAGCGTGTCTTGTGATGTGCGGCGGTGCGAAGCCCGTCCCACTGATCAAGGCACAGGTACGAAATGATGGGTCCATCATTTCTTGCCTTCCCGTGTGCGTTTTCCCAATCGATTCCTGGGCCCGAGGTCGCAAAAATTACGACGTCGGAGGTCTGGGGAGGCGGGAAGCACGACCTGGACCTCCGACGTCTTGGAAAAATCACGACGGCGGTTTTTGTCAATTTTCGGGCGTCCTGAGCCTCGGAGGCCGCCGCCTCCGACCCCCCATGGGAGGACGGGGCGGCCGGGGAGGTCCAAAAAAATCCAGGAGGGCCTCCAAAGGCTCCCAAGACGGCCCAAGCGGGCCCCGAGTCGCCGAAAGACCGCTCCAGGACGCCCAAGAAAGGCCCAAGACGGCCCGAGAGGCCCCCCAAGGCACTCCACGACGCTTCAAGACGCCTCTCCAGAGCGCTTCAAGAGGCCGAGATCGTCAATTTTACGAAGGTTTTCGAACGATTTTGACCTTCCAGCTTTTTCGGCTGTCCGACGTTCCACGACGGCTCAATAGGCCCCCAAGAGCGCCCCAAGACGGTCCAAGAGGGCCCCAGGACGGCCCCAGAGTCGCCCAAGACTGCCCCACAGAGCCCCAAGACGACCCCAAGATGCGCCCAAGAGGGGGACCACGACTCCAAAATTCGACCCTCCCGCTTGAAGAGTGCCCCAGGAGGACCTAAGGAGCCCCCAAGAGGCCCCAGGAGGCCTCCAAGAGGCACCCAGGAGGCCCGAACGAGGCCTGAAGAGGCTACAAAACAGCCCCGAGGAGGCCCCACAACGGTCCCAAAACGGCTACCGAGAAGCTGCGAAACTGCCTTCACGACGTCCCCGACAGGCCAACCACGAGATCCAAACCAACACCCATGAGGCCTCTGACCCACCACCCAGGGCACGGTGGCGGGGGCAGTGACAGCACTTGTGCACAGCATGTTCCGGCGAGAGCCTTCCAGAACACGCTGCAGGAGGAGGAGGAAGATCAGGAGGAGAGAGAGCTGGAGTGGGAGGAGGAGGAGGGGGACGAGGAGAAGGAAGAGGCCTCCAAGACAGCTCCAAGATAGCCGAAGAGGCTTCCAAGAGGGCCCTGGGCGGCCCACGAGGGCCCCAAGGCGGTGCCTGAGGCGCCCAAGACGACCCGAGAGGGCCCCAATACGGCTCCAAGAGAGGCCCAACAAGGGAAACACGAACCGAGAATCCGAGCTTTCTACCCCGAGAGGTTCTCGGGAAGTCCCAAGAGGCCCCCAATCGGATCCAAGAGGCCCCCAAGAAACTCCCAAGAGGGCCGACGAGGTTCCAAGAAATCTCCCAAGATGGCCCCAAGAGGCACAACTCATCGTGTTAAGATTGGGCTTTGACGGGTTTTCATGTTTTTTTTCTGCCTTTTGGCATCCCGATGCTCCAAGACGGCCCAAGAGGCTTCCAATACCGCTCCAATATAGAGGAAGAGGTCTCCAAGAGACCCCCAAGACTGCCCGCGAGGGCCCCAAGACGGTGCTTGAGGCGCCCAAGACGGCCCGAGAGGGCCCCAAGAGCCCCAAGAGAGGCCCAAGAAGGGGAACGCGACCCAACAGCAGAGCGTTCCCCCCAAAAGGCCCACAGGAGGCCGCAAGAGGCCCCCAAGTGGTCCGACGAGGACCCCAAAAGCTTCCCGAGGGCCTAAAAGGCCCCTAGGAGACGTCCAAGAGGTTTTAAAATAGCCCAAGAGTGCCCTCGATGCGTCAAAACTGCTTCCAGGAGGCCCCCGGGAGGCTTCCGGATTGCCTCAATCTGGCCGCAGGTGGCCTCAAGTCGGGCCTCCACGCAGCCAAGACGGCCAATGACGGCTTCAGATTGCAGAACCGATGCCCCCAAGGGACCCTCAGACGCCCCCCCAAGAAGCACCCAAGAGGTGCCTCCAACAGCCAGTTGACGAAGCATGCGGAACACCCCAGAAGCTCCTCAGATGCCGTCGCGCGCCTGTGCTTGATAGCGTTGTCCAAGATCGTCCAGCGCCCCCCCGGCCTGGGCTAGAACCTGAGCGCGCGCGAAGCGCGCGCGATGTTTCTAGCCCAGGGGCCCGAAAACAGCTGCCCGACACTCCATGGGAGTACCGGGGCTCATTTCCCCTTTGTTTTTATTGGGTTTCGGCGTCCCGGGCCTCGGAGGCCGCCGCGATGGTCCCGGACATTTTCCAGATCCTCGGCGCGGGCTCCAAGACCATTCCGCAGAGGGCTCCAACAGGCTCCAGGGCAGCCCAAGAGGGCTCCAAGACGGCTCCAGGAACGACTGCAGGGTCTCATTTTTCTTGTGTTTTCTGCAAGACGGCTCCAGGCAGACTGCATGTCTTATGAGGATGGCTTCCGCCTCTTGCCCCGATCATCCCAAACTGCCTGAACGGTTCCCCAAACCCAGCGCTTGCCCAAGCGCGTTCCGGACGGTCTTCGCCGGAACGCGCTGGAATGATCACGCGCTGCGGTTTCCCATGCCAACGTCCTCGGACGTGGGTGCCCTGCCACGAGCGCGTTCCGGGGAGATGCTCCCGGAAGGCGCTGAAAAGATATGGCCACATCTCGGGGACGCTCCCGACACCGCTCCCCAGCCTTTCCGGGCAGCCTCCACAGCGCTCCAGGAGGGTCCAAGACACCCCCCAGGAGCCCCCAGAATGCGAAAGGATGGCCCAAGACGCTCCCGAGCAGCCCAAGTCAGCCTTCCGACGTCTCTCGAGGCTCCCAGGTGGCCTCCAAGAGACCCCAAGAAGTCTGATAGGTATCACGGTACGGCCCGAAGAGGCCAAAGTCGTATATGTTCAATTGTCTTTTCAATGTTTTTGGCTTCTCGCGTTTTCGAGCTTCAACGGTCCAAGATCGCCGAAGAGCTTCCCAAGACCGCCCCAAGACCACCCAAGATACCTTCAGGACGGCCCCAAGACGGGCCAAGAAGGCTCCAACACTCCCGAAGAGGCGCCCAGCACAGCCCCAGAC